AAAAAAAAAAAAAAAACATTGTTAGAATGAATCAGCAACCAACAGAATGGGAAAAAAATTTTGCAATCTACCCATCTGACAAAGGGCTAACATCCAGAACCTACAAAGAACTAAAACAGATATACAAGAAAAAAACAACCCCATTCAAAAGTGGGCCAAGGACATGAACAGGCACTTTTCAAAAGAAGACATACATGAGGCCAACAAATATGAAAAAATGCTCATCATCACTGGTCATTAAAGAAATGCAAATCAAAACCACATTGAGATACAGTCTCACTCCAGTTAGAATGGCTATCATTGAAAAATCTGGAGACAACAGATGCTGGAGAGGATGTGGAGAAATAGGAACACTTTTACACCGTTGGTAGGAGTATAAATTAGTTCAACCATTGTGGAAGGCAGTGTGGCAATTTCTCAAGGATCTAGAAATAGAAATTCCATTTGACCCAGCAATCCCACTACTGGGTATATACCCAAAGAACTGTAAATTGTTCTACTATAAAGACACATGCACACATATGTTCATTGCATCCCTGTGTACAATAGAAAAGACCTGGAACCCAAATGCCCATCAATGATGGACTGGACAAAGAAAATGTGGTACATATACAGCATGGAATACTATACAGCCATAAAAAACGATGAGTTCGTGTCCTTTGTAGTGACTTGGATGAATCTGGAAACCATCATTCTCAGCAAACTGACACAAGAACAGAAAGTCAAATGCCATATGTTCTCACTCATAGGGGGGTGTTGAACAACAAGAACACGTGGACTCAGGGAGAGGAGCATCACACACTGGGGACAGTTGGCAGGGGTAGGGGACAGACAGCGAGGGGTGGGCAGGGAGGGGAGGGTGGGGAGGGATAACATGAGGAGAAATGCCAGATATAGTATGCACCTAAAGTAAAATAAAATAAAAAACATGAATCTTACAAAGAGCATTATAATAACACCATTCCAGAAATATAAGATTAAAACTATCTCTGAAATCATCTTGCTTTAAAAATTTTGTTACATTTTAATAAATATTTAAATTTGTTAATATTAAAAAATACTATCCTTAAGAAATTAAAAAACTTGAAGAAACACTTCAAACATGCAAATTTATTTTCAGATATTACTCATAATTCTTATAAGTAGTTTAAATGTTTTATGAAAAAATTGTTATTTGTTTTTCCTTTTCCTTTTTTCTTTTTAAAAACCAAGTTTGAGGCTGGAAACGGTGGCTCACGCCAGCATGTTAGGAGGCTGAATTTCACTTGATCCCAGAAATTTAAGACCAGACTAGGCAGCATAGACAGACTCCATCTCTATAAAAAATTAATCAGGCACGGTGGCACACGCCTGTGGTCCTAGCTACTTGGGAGGCTGAGGTAGTAGAATTGCTTGAGTTTGGGAGGTCAAGGCTGCAGTGAGCCGTGATTGTGCCACTGCACTCCAGCCTAGATGATAGAGCAAGATCCTATCTCAGAAAATGAAATAAATAAAAAGTTGAAAAACCAAGCATTTGTCTCTTTTTAAACATCTTTGTTAGACATCAGATTAATGCCTATAAATGTCCACAACTAAATCATTTTAATTTGAAGGAAAATGGCTTGAGGTCCTTGTAAGGTAGTATTTTCTTAGGTTATACAGTGAATTTTCCTCAATAACTTTTCCACTTACTATAGTTAGGGGATTATAGACACATTATCTTTTATGACATTAGTGATAAATACATTTAACAGGTTATACCCATCCAAATTTTCTTTTAGACAAAAAGATATTTTCTCATTATTACAATTTTAATGAAACCAGTTTTTAAAATACTCACTAAATGTGAACCATGTTTGTTTCAGTTCAAAGTACATGCTTATGCTAGTCTGAATCCCGATGTCATAGATAGTTAACACAGAACTTGGGTGTTCCTGAAGTTTGGTGTATTCCTGGTAACAGTACCATATTCCTTGAAAAAGAAAGAAAAACAGGAATGATATAAAATATGATTTTCTGAAATACAAGCTGTATGTGTTTATCATACATATCTACATAAAACTTATCAGCATGGTAAATTCTGCAAAGGAAAGACACATATTTACACAGCAAACACTTTATTTGGATCCAATAGTCTAAATGTGCTACTGTATTTGATATAAATGTTTTAGTATCTGTCTTGATAACTGTGGCAACATCTGGCTTTAAATATCCTTTTGACTAGAAATGTCCATCAGTAAGGACTGGTTAAATACATCATGATATATTTGTTCACTAGAAAGATGCACCGAAAACTCCCCTTAAGATTTTTACCCAACACTAATTTATTATTACCCACTTATTTATTTATCCTTGCAATTCTATCATTTTTGAGGTTATTTAAATAGATGCAACAAGTTTAGGATTGGTATTTTTCTAGTGAGCTAAATCATTTTTATCCATAACAATAATTGTCATTCTAAAATCTATTTTGCTGATATCATTGTTCTCTGCCACTTTCTTTTGTTAATGATTGCTAGTATATTTTTTCCATCCTTTCAATTTCAAATGTTCTATTTCCTTACATGTTGTATAACTTTTATAAATAATATATAGCTCCAATTTGTATGTGTACATTTTAATCTGACCTGACAATCTCTGTATTCTAATTGGTGAGTTAAACATATTTATACTTTATAAATTGATATATTTATATTTGTTTCTATGTTCTTACTTTTGCTTTTTGTGTTCTATTTTGCACCTATACTTTTCTTCCAATTCAAATCCTTTAAAAATTGATGATTTTTCTTCGTTTACTTATATTCCATTATTCTTCTCTACTGGTTTTGAACTATCTACTCTATTTTTATAACAGATTACCTTGAAAGTCTCTTCTGTTTTTTTAATAAGTCTAAAGTCAATATCTTAATAAGGAAACTCAAAGACCTTAGTTGCTCAATAATCACCCTCTCTAATTATTGCTCAATAATTTCATTATGTACATTTTAAATATATTAGTTAGCATGTAAGTAAAGCTAAACAAACTTTGCCTACATACAAGAATAATTTTAGTGTCCAATATCTAAAGCAGTTATTATTTTATGCAGGCAAAGTTTAGCTTTACCTAAATGCTTACTCATTTATTTACTTTGTTCACCATCTTTTCTTACATCTCATATATTCCTGTGGAATCATCCTCCTTCTCACCGTCTCTCATAGCTGCATTCAATCCATCAGGAAATACAACTATTATTATACAATAAAAGCATGTATGACCATCTTCAAGAGTTTCCCTCATTTGGCATATACATTTCTACAATGGTCTCCTTACTGGTCTGATTGCTTCTACTCTTGCCTTACTACAGTCTATTCTCAATACAGGGACTAGAGCAATTACTATATCTCATCTCTTTGCTGCTCAAAACCCTACATTGCCTTCTGTTTCACTCAGAGTAAAAGCCTAGGTTTTACAATAATCTGTAAGGCTCTAGCTCCTTCATAAATTCTATGACCTCATCTCCTACTATTTTTTCCTTTACTCAGTACACCCATCCACACCAGGCTCCCAGCCATTTCTTCAATACATTCTTATCTTACAGGGCCTTTGCTCTAGCTGTACCCACTGTCTGGAACTTTTCTTTCATCTTGACTGTCTAACGCCACTGCTTTCAAGTGTTTTCTTAGACATCTTCCCCAAAAGACCCTAATATTGCCATTTTGACTCCTTGCCCTACCACGGCACTCTCAATCCCCCCCTTCCTGCTCTACCTTTTCTTTTTTTCCATAGCATTAACTACCTTCTAATATATAAATTACTTAGGTTATGAGCATCAGAAGAGTAAAAACCTTTGTCTGTTCATTTACTCTTGTACATCAAGAATCTAAAATAGTGTCTGTACACAGCAGCTGTTCAATTGATATTTGTTGAATAAACAGAATAATGTTCAATTAGATATGGATTTCTCTTCCTTTACTCTCCTTAGTATAATGAGGGCCTCCTGTATCTATGGATCTATGTCTTTCATCAGTTCTGGAAAATTATCAGCAAAGAGTTTTCAAATATAGTTGACATATGTCAGGCCCTTCTTAACCTATTTTCTATTTCTTTTAACCACACAATCATATTTTTGTCTCATCACATTCTGCTATATTTTGGTTACTTTAGATTCATATTTCAATTTTTTACTTCTCTATTTTGCTGTTTAGCTTATCAATTTGTTTTTAATATAACATTTTGATCCTGAAAAGTTCTTTTTGGCTCATCTTTATGTATGCCTGGACATTTTTGTTGATTTTTAGTTTTGTAATTCTATACTTTTTATGCATGGTTATTTCATGTTCTATATCTTTCTTTTTTTTTTCTTTTGAGACAAAGTCTTATTCACTTGCCCAGGCTCGAGTACAATGGTATGATCTCAGTTCACTGCAACCTCCTCCTCCTGGGTTCAAATAATTCTCCCACCTCAGTCTCCCAAGTATCTGGCACTACAGGTGTGTGCCACCATGGCTGGATAACTTTTGTATTTTTAGTAGAGACAGGGTTTCACCATATTGGCCAGGCTGGTCTCCCACTCCTCACTTCAAGTGATTGGCCCGCCTCGGCCTCCCACAGTGCTGGGATTAAAGTTGTAAGCCACTGTGTCCGGCCACCTGTTCTATATCTATTAATACCCATATCTGAATTCCTGGAGACCTCAATCTTATGTTTATAGTATCCACTGATCTCACACAGAACTGTTTTCTTGCATGTCAGGTAGTCCCAGACTTTGTTGATCTGAATCTGTGAAAGCCTAGTGACCTAAATTGAGAAAACTTTCATCTAGAGGAGATTTACATTTATTTCTTCTGGCAGCTAAAGGGTACTAACAAACAGGTCACTTTAGACATTTCTAGGATCCCAGGCTTACTCCAGGAGTTTCAGGTATGACCCCTGTTCTGCTGCCAACTCCGGTCTGAGTCTCCTGATCCCAGCACCACTTTAGGTTACCCAGTGTTTCACCTATGCTTCCTGCTTGGTTCCCCACTTTGATTTTAGCTTATGAGTTACTTTTTTTTTCTTTTGAGGGAGATTTCCTTTATTTCATAAAGTTTATCAAAACAACATATAAAACAATACAGTACAGTACTCTTTCTAATGCCGTGATTTCATAGCAAAAAGGCCCTTCAGACGATTTTGTTTCCTCATACTAGTGAATGTGAAGCTTTAGGCAATATTTTCCAATTTCCCTTTCTTTGCTTTCTCTCTCTTGTCCTAGAGTTTTTTAAAGTTATGATCTCTGGGCTTCAAGAGATCTTTCCTCAATAATATTCCTGAATAACAATATCAGGAACAACAAAAATGGACACTATTTGAGCATTTACTATATGTTAGCAAAATCTAAGTACTTTATACATATGATTTTGTTTAGTAATCACAGATTCCTGCTATAAGGTTGAGAAAACTATGAATTAAAGAAACTGTATACTTGCAGAGGATCATACAGTTAATATGTGATGAATCTGGGATTGTGCCTTTTTCATGCCTTAAATACATGTTCATAACCAAAGTGTTACATATCTTCTCCTGTATACCTCTTAATCTGTTCTGTCCAAAGAGAGCTGTTCCATTCCTGTATATGAACACTTGCCGACAACGACTCTGGCTTTTTCTCTGCTCAGAATGACATATCCACATTGTTATTTGCCCTAGTAAATGGGCTGCTGTCAGTAGGAAATTTTAGTAGAAAAAATTGGTTTCTCATGACACGTAGAAAGTCAATTGTCCAGGATAGTAGCAGAGGTCAGTTACATGCAGTCTTATTTACTGACACTCCCCAACCTAACTAGACATTTCCTCCCTCAATAAATACCATCAAGCTTACTTCCCAAGTCATTAATTTCTGGGTTAGTACTATCTAGGGAGTCAATAGGGAATGAATATTGGTTGTTTCACCTGCACTTTTTTTTATACATTGACCATCTTTCTCCTTTTTGCCATTGTTAAAATTGCACTACAGCCAATCTGATTTTTCTTGCTGCTTAAGACATCAGTGAAGTCAATAGCAGACTGCCCTTTCCTTCCTGATGACAATACAAGAGTGATTGAATCACATGCCCAGGCTCTCCAGTGACAAAGGGCGGAGATTATATTAAGCTCCAAGCAGGAACACAAAAACAAGACATTTAAACAACTTTCTTTGCAGTTTCTGATTAGAGGATGGAAGACTGATTCACCTGTTATCTGTTACCTGGCTGTGCTCAGCAAGAAACCCAGGTGGGATTCAAGAGGAGCTGTACAACAGGAGTAGATAAGGAACACCTGAGAAGACCTGAATGATTTACCAAAAACTCACTGGAGATAATGAGGAGGGTAATAACAATAACCCATCACATACTGATTGTCTGCTGTGTTCCAGGTACTGCTCTAAGAGCTTTATATTCATTGTCTCATTTAATCTTTAAGATCCTCTGAGATGAAGATACCATTATTGTGCTGATGTTATAGATGAGGACACCGGGTCTGTTAGCCATCAACAAATTTCCAAAGTTACCCAGTTGTATGTTATGGAGCTGAATTAGAACACAGGCTAACTACACAACCTGGGGATTCAACTGCATTCTTATATGTGTAAAGCTCTTCTTCACTGAGTGACAGAAATAAGGCATTGTTATTTTTAATGTCTACTACCATACAACTGTTGTCAGTCCAAATGGTGCTGTAGGGGAAATCATTCTTTTAATTAGAAAGCTCTCAAACATTTATAGAACATATTCATTGCCTCATATATTTTTAGAATACTGAAAAGAAGCTGCCACAGGTGGATGCTGTTCCATGTGAAACACTTTAATTCATATATAGAGCTCACAAACCGGATATGGATTGTTTTGGGAGATCGAGTTTCTGATTAGATTTCAACCTGGATTTTAAAATATTTATTTGCACAAATGTATGGGATACATATGTAATTTTGTTATATGTATATATTGCATTGTGGCTTTCAGTGTATCTGTCACCTGAATGACATAAATTGTATCCATTATATAATTTTTCATTATCCACCCCGTTCCACGTTCCCATTATCTATTACTCCAAATTCTACGTCCATGTGTACTCATTATTTAACTCCCACATTTACTTACTGCCAATTATTTAGCTCCCACAGACAGTATTGTAATTTAATTACTGCCAATTACTAAGCTCTCACAGATAGAGTACTGTAATTCTCCATCTAAGGGCGTAATTCAGAATACTTGCCTCTAGAGGGCGATGCTTCATTATGGAGTACAAGTTATTAAATGGTGTGACAGTACCTGGATTAAAGGTACTAAGTTGAAAGAGAAAAATAGATCACACTTCTGTAAGTTTGCAGACCTGGCCTTTGATCAGATAGAAACGTTAAAGAAATAAAAGAAGTTGTCTGAAATGTTTTTCATTAATCTAAAAGGATTTCCTTTTACCTCCTTCTTAATGTCCATGAGGCAGGAGACCAAAGGCTGGTAGGGAAAAGAATAAAACGTTCTGACAGCAATTTTCCCCCAAAGATATAGGAAGAAAAAGTAACAAAGACAATACATGCAAAATTAAATATTTTTTCTAAGTTTAAAGCTTTTATGAGGATAAAGAATAATTAGATCCACAGAAAACAAATGCTTTCTGGTAAGCAATCATAGCAATTGAAAATAAAAAGATTATTCTGATATTTGGCAATTTGAAGAGGAGTGATACCTACCATAACCTATGATTCCAATCACACCAATAATGAAGACCCAGAAGAGGCATCCAGCTATGAACCTCAGGAGTATCAAAAATATCCAACTAAGGAACATGGCGATCGTAAGCCCACTAGAAAAAACCCACAACAAACACAGCTGTCAAGTGTGCTAAACATAACGTATGACAAACATCAAGACAAAACTTTTTTTTCTATTCAAAATTATTCTCAAATTATTTTATTTTAGCTGGCCATAGAAACAATAATGTTAAAAAGTATAAACAATGATTCCCATTAAGACTTTCATATGAAAGAACAGGACCATAGGGACTTTATACAGAAGTCATCTTTGTGTACCTGAAAAAGTTTACATCTTTGTGTAAACTGAAGTCTAGTATCAGTTATTGTTCAAGGAAAAATACAATTCCTCCAACCTACAATTTTGATTTATTGGCAACAGTTGCCATGTCTTATTTTTTCTCTCCATATCTACCTACTAGGTCATAAATTGTAAAATATATTCATGATGAATTTGTTCTGTTTCATTTACCTGGTGACTGGTGGAAATCTTCTGCAATATGGCTATAGAAGTAAGAAAATCATTTTGGGGCAGAAAGATAAGAAAAATAACTGGCCACCCTCAGAGCCCATAATGCTGTAGTCATTATCTCTATGGTCTAATTATCTCTAGGAGTTTGTGATGCCTTATGTCACCAGACATCTATTCCAGGTCCCCAGTGATCTGTGGGCCATTATTTGGAATCAGGATAAAGCTTCTGTGTCTCCTGGGACGTGTGACTTTATCAAGCAATTAACAGTATGACTATTTTCTGTCAGTTTTAATTTCTTTTTAGAGCTTGACTGAACTACTAGAGAAGCTTCTTTTCCTCCCATATATCCAGGTTAAGGTCACATTGGAGTCTTCTGATGTAATTTTCTCAAAGAGAACTCATTAAGATTGGAAAGTTGCCCGATGCTTCTATTAAGAACTGTTATGTCTGGTGTTACCTGTAAGTTTCCAAACATAGCAACAGACACAGTTTGGTACATTTACGAAGTTACTGTCTCAAGTGTTATCTTTTTATTATTAAAAAATCTCCATAATTACTGTCACTGGATAGATGACAACACAGTACTGAAGTGTCAGAGTCTTGCAAAGCCTATGCTTTTAACTTTGGAAGTCATTCCCTCTTAAAATCACAGATACTTTAATGCTTAAATATTCAATATGGTTGAAAGATTATTTTATGGCACAGTCCAAGGAAAGGATTCAGAAATGTCAGAGGAAAACAATAACAAGAAATAAAACTGTTTATTCTGTGTGTTTTAAATTTGTACATAAAAATTATAACTGAATAAACTAGATATAATCATATAAGTACTTTAGATTTAGATTTACAAAATAAATGAGAGCAGAAGAATTGAAACTAAAGGGAGAGTTGATGTTTTACTCTTATGAGTGGTGCCTGGGTGGAGAGGGTTTTGGTATGTGTTTTGGGGGTGAGGTAAGCAGGAGAATCTATTACAATGTACACTTGTTCAGGTAGATGTGAAAAAGCCAAATGAAGAAGCAGCATAGAAATTACCTAGTGACATTTGGGTCTGACAATAGGGGAATCAGTTTAAATAGTGTCAAGAATAGACTACGATCTTTGCTGAAGATAAATCCTAACATACTAAAAGTAATTACTCTAATTGTTTAGGACAAAGCATCAAAATGAGTAAAATCTCATCAAGTGATCTGATTTTACAGCTCTAAACACCACCCACTAGTTTCTCACACAAAATACAAGTTAGACTTTATTATGCATCATGTAGTTACATTCACGTATCTTGACCCACTAGTGTTTTTCTTGCTGTTTCTTAACATATTTTTGTGTGTTTACTATGTTCAAGTACTCATATAGAGGTTAGGGAAATGAAGATGAGTTAGACATATTTATTGTAAAGAGTTCATACTTTATCAGAGGGAAAGGGACAGGTAAAGAAAATACAGAATGGTAGGTGCTATATGGAAGATGAGCATGTGTGTGTATTTATAGGTGTGTATACACACACATGTACACACATGATAGGTATGAGAAACACGTTGGAAGAAGTAAGTAATTATATCTGGGGAAGATAATAAAGGTTTCATACATGATACTAAAGCTGATTTTTTAAAATGAGGTACCGTTTCCCAAGACTCAGAGCATATGCCAGGGAAGAAAACAGAATGTGCAAATTTATGGGATTTGATAGTATAGGGATGGGAATGTTATTTGATATGTTTAGAATATAGTGTTAACCGAGAAACATGGGTGGAGATAAATTGGAGAAACTAAGTTGGGCAGGTTTTAAAGGGCCTCAGAAATATCTGAAAAAGCTTTAGCTTTAGTCTTTGACCATTAGGGAACCAGAGAAGCTTTTAAGAACTAGAGAATGACGAAAGAGCCAGCCAGTACTGACGGTCTTAGATCTGTCACACATTTACCGATTCCAGTGCAGTGACTACATTTCCTTAAGTTTCTAGGAATGCGAATCTTAGGTCTGAAAATGTTACATCTTCTCCCCCTCCTTATCTATACATATATATTTATGTATCACATACATAGTTAGGTAGCTTCTCATAACTACAATGACTTCTGGTGATGATGAATACCAGTCATTATGTGGAAGGGATGTGTTAAAAATAAGAACGATCCTTTCGAAGTCAAGGGAGGGACAAATTAGAAAAAGAATCTGAGAAACAATCCTGCATCCACGGTAGCATGTGATGATTACTGCAGAGTATTACAGATACAGAAGTCCTGCAGATATTGCCTCACATGACTTGAAGTATGTTTTTATAAGAATACTTTTATTAGTACTTTCGTGAATAAAATTAAAATTTACATTCTGCCAACACTGAGCATATTTCCAAATATCTTTCCACTGTCACACCTCATCTGATAAAGAAAATGGCAGGAACTGAGATCTGAGTGAATCTTTTATTCATGAATAAGAACAAAAAAATTGAAGAAAGAATTCTACAAAGATAAAATCAGAATGGGGCTGGAGAAAAACATCTATGTGTTTTCACTTACATGAGAATCCAATACCAAGTTGTTACATAGTCTTCAAAGACTTTCAATCCAAGTGACTTTGCATCAAGTAGTTTATTAATACCACTGCATTGAAAGAAAGAAAAAATCAATTACTTTTTGATGACCACTAAATAGAAATGTTCTTGTTATAATAAAAGGGATTCTGCAAGGTGCTGTTGAAAGCATGTTTTCAGAAACCATCTATCAGTAGTGACTATTTTCCTAGCCACAATAATACATAAAATGTCACCAGTAAACCTGCAAAGTGAGCTATAGCTGAACACAAAGAGAACATGATTTTCAAGAATGGTGAGCAAATCCTTTTCCATTGTTTGCAGCCTTCCCTCAATATTGCAGAAACCTCACTGTAAGAAATGAATTTAAATGATAAGATTAGTTTTAACTTGCAAAACCCATAGTCAAGAATGAGCATCATCTTTAATTCCCCTTCCTAATCCTGACAGTAAGGCACGATGGAACACTTACTAGAAATTTCACAATCAGTGTCCAATTTGATGAATTATCAAAGTGAACACAGTCATATAAGGACAACATTGTCAGTCCCTTCTTCATGTGCCCCAACTGTAACACCGCTCTCTTCCTCAAAGTAACCACTATTCTGACTTTTGTGATAATAATTTCTAAAGTTTTCTTTTTCATTTTACTAATTATATATGCATAACAGGGAAATAAATTTAGCTCTGCTTGTTTCTGACCATTATATCAATGGAATCATATTTGTATTATTATTTTGAGATTTATTTTACACAGATTTTTATTTCTGAAAATCATGAATGCTGCTATTGTATTCTAAAAATGCAGGAACTACACTATACTAATTATACAGCTAAAGTCTTTTAAGATAAATACATTTATAGAATATCTTTCATTTTTATCTATAACTGAGCAATACAGTGATATGCGGTGTGCATTTATGTTTGTACACGTGTGTATGTGTTTATGTGTGCACACAGGGAAATATATTTTCCAGTAACATGTAGCACCATGTGTGTACAGCCAAGGGTAAATTTACTGCACTATACTTAGTACAAAGATATTTGATATGCCACCAATACATTTCTTTATATTACACTTCTGTACCTGTTGAGAATGAAAGATTTAAAAATTTTGAAAAGCATCATTATTCATTCTTTCTTTCTTTTTTAAAATCCCAGCTAGTCAGGAGGCTGGGACAGGAGAATCACTTGACCCTGAAAGGTGGAGGTTGCAGTGAGCCGTGATATCATGCCACTGTACTCCAGCAACAGAAAAAACATCATTATTCTTTCTAATTGATTCTGGTTTCTCCTTTATATGTTCTTCTTAATGAATATATATCAAGTTCTTCAATCCATATTTCATATATATATAATTGTTTTCTATAACTCTTAAACTGATAGAAGCTTTATAGTCTTGAGTGCAGTAACAAAATGCATCAAAACTGAAAATTACAACATAAACACATACTTTGCAGCATCCCTGAGTTCTATAACACTTCTTGTCTTTCCATTTCCATCTTGAAACACCATGCTACTTCCTATTGTTAAAGTGCCATTTTTGGTAGAGAAGTCAGGGAAACATCTCTGGAGAACTGCAAAAATAAATTATAGAAATCACTTTTCTACTTCTTCTTTCATAATGTCCTCCCTTTCTTAAACTTTCTGTTATATATATAACCAAATTCTTGCTAGACATGCAAATTGCTCAATATAGATAGCCCATTGCCTGTTACTTGATGATATAATTTTCTAATGGTCCTAAGACTAGAAAGCAAATATGATCACACTCTGAAGCTACATTCTAAACTTGATTACTTTACACATGGTATATTGATCAGGTCATCATAAATAAAATGCACAGCTTAGGTTTTAAAAGAGTAACAATGATACATATCATTCATGGCAAGAACATTTTAGTAGAAAGCCACATTAACTTGTATTACTGGTTGAGTTTAGTTTTGTTATTAAAAATATATATTAGGTACTACTTGAGTAAAATCTTGAAAATTGGAGATTAGGGAATAATACCTTGGGAAATAAAAGCCAGCTCAAACTTCAGGCTACTAAAACAACTAAATTTTTGTCTGTGAATTCTTAACAATTTATCTCCCAGCTTTTTCATTTACAGCAGTTTTTAGTGGAGCTGAAAATGGAAATTCTGAAGCTATCAAAAGAGGCCTACACTTTGTAGACTAGTATGATTTTTAAGAAAAGTAAAATAACTGTTTGATCTTCTATGTTTTTATTTTGATTAGAGTCTTTGCTTCTTTACAAATTTATTACTAAAAGTATTTTAAAACCCCAATTTTAAGTGAAGAAATAAGGAAAATCAGAAATGGATCATTTTCACATTTTTTTCTTATAAGAAGAATCACTGATTTGCATGGGCTCATATGTAGTTCAAACCTGAAAATATTAAAGCAGTTGAGCTGGGGAAAGAAGAAATAGGTCTCTTTAAAGCCTTTCCCAACTATCCTGGCTTAAAAAGGAATTTTCTTGTCTGCTCATCTCTCGCTTCTGCTGCACTTAAGATGTGGCTGATTCCTTTACCTGCCCCACCTTTCTACTGCTCTTCCCTTCCTTTCTGTGGTAAATATGACACAGTAGTCTTTACCAGCTACTTCTACTCCCTCGGTTCAGAGTTTTGCCCCCACCATTTCATGGAAATTATCCTCCCAGTGGTCCCAATGACCTCTCGATTGTCAAAACCTCCAGATATGTTTTAGTCTTCATCCTGCTTAAACCCATTATGTAAAACAGGGCTTGGCACACAGTAGAAATCAGTAAATATTTGCTGACGAATTTGTTAACTTTTTCAAGCCTTTGACATGGTAGAAACTCCTTGTCGTATTGAAACTGTCCTCTTGGCTTACATGGCCAGATGCTCTCCTGTCCTCCCTTCCGTGTTTCTGTGCACTCCATCCCTTTCTACTCCTTAAATACAAGTGTTCCTACCCAGAGGGTCTCCTGACCTTGTTTCATACGTTTTTCTGGATAATCTCATCCAATCTGTTAGGTTCTGTTACTAAATATGTTGATTACATATTCAGAAAGTGGATAGAATATAAAACAGATATAGAACTATACATAGTCCTTCCACCTACCGTGAACTATATTAACATTTTGGGGAATTTCTTTCCAGTCTTTCTTCTACAATAAATATTTTTTGAGGGTCAAAATCATACAGAACATGCAGTGTTTTCCCTTATTTTTTTTATTCTCATCTATTTCCTTTTATGAACTCTTTAATGAACAAATTTTATTATCTGCATACTATTCTATTGAGTACTATTTAATTTCATATTAGGAGGAACACAAGTTGATTGCAACATTTACTTTAATGTCTTTCTCACTAGACTGTGAAGAACTATGCCTTATTCATTTTTGATTCCCCAATGTACATCCTTTCCTGTGTGATTTAGCCAAACTGTACTTGTAAGGGCAGGGACTATGTCTTATACTTTTATACCTATTATGTCTTTTGTTACTAATGGTTTATTTTTATCCTTTTGCGTAAAAATTTATAACATTGATTTTGGCTGCGGACATTTGTCGCTGAGAACTTCCTGGTAAGTGCTGCTGCTGTGGGACCTAGATCTTTGCTTCAAGGTCTTTTATGACCCAGCAAAGAGTGATGGCAGCATATAAGACATGTTCGGTGGTAGCTACTTTAGTGGGTATTTGACTATCTATTCTAATGACTGATGCCTTTCCTCCATTTTAAAAGAAATATCCACATTGTAGGAAAACGAATAAAGAGAAAAAAGAAAGAAGTGAGAAATTTCCCACAGTTTCACCATCCCCAAAACAACTACTTAATGTTTTGGCATATATCTTTCCAAACTTTTTGCTTGTTTGTAATTTATACATGTTTATCATTATATGGCTTGTAAGAGTTTGAATTTTATTTAACATTATAACATACACATGCATGTTATTCTAATAGTTGTATTTAATAATTCTAAACTGTTTCCTTTAGTGAATACATTATAATTTATTCGAATATTCTTTTGCGCTTAGATAGTACAGTATTTCTTTTTTTTTTTTTTTGATTTTGTTTTTTTTTTTTTTTTTTTTTGATACTTTAAATGTGATGGACATTTTAATTAAAGCTTTTTTTAATAATTAGGATTATATCCATAAGCAAGAAAACTCAGTGATTATTTTATTTTCTTCTTTTTATTTTTATTTTTTTAGAGACAGCGTTTTACTCCGTTACTGAGGCTGTGTACAGGGGTACAATCATAGCTAGCCACAGGCCCCAACTCCTCGGCTCAAGTGATCCTCCCATCTTGGCCTCCCAAGTAGCTGGGACTTGCCATGTCTCACTAATTTCTTTTTAAAACTTTTGTAGAGACAGAGTTTCACTGTGTTGCTGAGGTTGGTCTCGAACTCAAGCAAGCCTCCCACCTTGGCCTCCCAAAGTACTGGGCCTCATTTTGTCCAAACAAAGTATTACTTAAATATAGTTTATAATTTTAAATAAACAAAATATTGACTAATTCTGAATATATATAAATATTTCAAGTGATTAAGACAAGTATATGTCCTCCCCCTACTCCCCAGGCAATTTCTGAACAAAGTTTTCAGCTAAAATCAGGAGTCGGTGTATATGAGTGTGTCTATGTTTGTGTTTATGTATGCTTCTAAAGCACCAAATGATCAATCTGACTGAGCTTTCAACTTTCAATCTTTTTCTTGTATGTTTATGAAGGAAAATTTAAAAAATCACAGAGTTCCAGTGGAAAGGTACCTGGTTGGAGTCAAGAGATGAGCTCTACTTTTGACTTTTCTACTAATCAACTCTGTGACTTTAGGACAGTCAGAGGGCCATTCTTGGCCTCAGTCTCATCAATTGTGAAATATGGGAACTTAATTAAGTAGGATTTTGGTAGATTCTGTGTTTTTAAGGTAAAATAATTGCCACTTACAAGGTTTGCTTGGAAAAATCGCTGTTGGACAATCATCATCCAGTAAAAGTTGTGTGAGAGACTAAAATAAAAGAAAGAATGTTAACATTTCAAAGACCATGTGATGATTACTTTATACTCAATCTAAATATGTCCTTTAAAAATTTAACTCCATAATAATCTCCTTATTCCAAATTACTTCTCCTAATAATATTAATTGTAAGACTATCACACATACACACAAGGTTGCTTAACTTTCTGAAATGTCCTAATTGTAATTCAATCAAACCAACAATAATAAAACCAGATCATTTGAAAACAAGGCACACCTTTGGAGGTATGTATCTTTTTCTTAGTCATATCCTGAGTCTCTAATTTCTTTCTTTCTTTATTTTTTTCTAGAAAAACAACGTCTTCTCTAATTTGGAAACCATTTCTATTATTTAACATAAGGATGATTTAGAATTTCTTACCTATCACTCACCTAGGTAAGGGGTTGGGGTTTTTAAAAAGAGTTGTTACCAAACTGAGTTTGGAAATAAAAATCTACTTGTTACTAAGTTGCTATGGAGCTTCATCATCACATTAACAAAATGGTGACTGCAAATGACATTAACTCCTAGTTCTAGAGTAAAAATCTATCCAAGTAGAGAATTTGTTGGTGTCAGGAAATAGTAGAAGCTAATTAACCAGACAAAACAGCTTTTCATAACACCCCAAATCTATAAAATGATGTGCTATAAATGGTGTGTGTACACATTCAGTACTTATGCATTTGTGTTTTAATGAAATTGTGTCTAATCATTTCCTAGAAGTTTCAGGAGTTTGTTCGGTAACAAATGCTCATGTTACACTTGAAATTGAAAAAAAAGTTAAATTCTTCTCTAGCTTTAAGATTAAACACACCTACCTTTGCAGGCTTAGCAGTGGTCTTGCAGAACTGACGGTAGTCTTCCCAGTAGCTCTTGTCTTTTGTGTATAAAAGTTGCATTTCCACATAGGTTAAAAATTTTTCTGGGCACTTGGAGACACAGATCTGTGAACGAACAAAGTGAGGAGAACTGAACTGAGTTGAACACACCCAGGAACTACCTATAAAGTTAAGCTTATAAATTATCCACCACAATAAAAAGCAATGCACTGTTTTACATCTAAGAAACCTAAATCAATTTTCTTTCTCTCTCTTTTTCTTCATTTCTTTTTAAATTTTCTAGAGACAGTGGTATGATCATGGCTCACTGCAGCCTCAACCTTCCTGGGCTCAAGTGATCCTCCCATTTCAACCCTTTAAGTAGCTTAGACTACAGGCAAGAATCACCATGCCCAGCTAATTTTTGTATTTTTTGTAGAAATGGGGTTTTGCCATATTCCCCAGGCTGGTCTCAAACTCCTGAGCTCAAGTGATCTGCCCATCTCAGCCTCCCAAAATGCTAGGATTATAGGTGTAAGCTACTGTACCTGATCTAAATCAATTTTCTAGTCTTACTGTAAAAAATGAAATTTCATGTACTAGTTACCAATCTCTGCTCTTTGCTCTTTGATATTGATGTTATGTTAAAACAAGATACCATACAGTGACAGACTTATTTTCAACTTTTGAGTTTGAGATCATTGTAGATCAACATGCAGTTGTGAGAAATAATAGGGATTTCACATACCTTTCACTCTGTTTCCCTCAGTGGTAAGAACTTGCATAACCATAACACATTATCATAAGCAGGAAATTAATATTGTTACTGCTATAGTTTGGATATTTGTCCCCACATACCTCATGAAATTTGATCCCCATTGTTGAAGATGGGGCCTAATGGGAGGTATCTGGTTCATAGATGCAGCTCTACCCTGTACTTACAGTTCAGGGAGAATCTGTCCTGTTCATGAGGGAAGATGCCCCCTGTTCTTGTGATGATGAGTAGGTTCTCAATCTATTAATTCCCTCAAGATTTGGTTGTTAAAAAGGGCCTGGAGCCTCCCTTATCTTCTCTTGTTTTCTCACTAGCCATGTAATTTCTGCACATGCCAGCTCCTCTTTGCCTTCCAGTACGAGTGGAAGGCAGAAAGCTGAAGCCCTCAACAGAAGCAAATGCTGGCTCCATGTTTCTTGTAACAACCTGCAGAAACATGAGCCAAACAAACCTCTTTTCCTTATAAATTGCCCAGCCTCAGGTATTTGTTTTATAGCAACACTAAACAGAGTAAGACAGTTAGAAGCCACCAACCTTACTCAGAGCTTACCTGTTTTATACACTTGCTTGTGTGTGTGTGTATGTGTGTAGTTCTATGCCATTTTATCAGATGTGTGGTTGTGTGACCCCTACCATGGTACAGTGATACACTTTTAATAAAATACTTTATGATTTTAGGGTATGCTTGTGTAGTACATATATGTTCAGGGTTAAAATCTTCCTTCCTTTCCTAAATATGAATAAAATGATAATTTAAAATTCTCTGAATATTGAACACTTATGCCACTAATAATTTTTAGTGCCAGTGAATTCTTAAACACAATTCTCAAAAAGTAACTGAGGTTTTAGCACCATAAGAAACTAACAGATCAGGGCTATTTGCCATGATCAATCATCAGTATGGTCTTTTACCAGCACCATCTACATGTGGGCAGACAGGTCATCTTTGCAATTATTTTATATTAATAAACTTTGGGGGCCTATCAGTGCCAAACCAGATCACTGTGCTAGTCCACGAAGCCACCACTGAAATCCAATTAGTGACTCCACAGAGGGAAGGCAGAATCAGAAGAGATGTACTCTATTAGTTTTGCTTTTGTTTGCAATAAATAACAAAAGTCAGATGAAGCCATGTGAACTGCAGCTAACCCTTTCAAGTTTCTCCATCACTTTCACTTCCTCCATCTGAAATACTTCTCAGCCCTGACTTGCTCCATCTCCCTGCTCTAGTAATTATTCTCATTGGCCAACCTGTAGCTCAACCCATTGGCAATTAGGTAAAACATTGCTGCTTAGCTGACATCTCCTTTCCATCTTTTGGGTTATGTTCCTGGTATGCACAAAGGCATTCGGTGTGGGCCCTACAGCTAAGTTAGCAAGAGAATAATGAAATGCATATGCCTCAAATCTCACAGTTAATATTGTCTTGAAGCAACAGCAGTCCAATTCCTCCTAGAAATTTTGGCAAGGCAAACAACCCATCTCCACATCCTCCCTCCCCATGTATTTCCTCTTTCTCAGTCTCTCATCCACACGTGCATGCACACACACACTCACATATGCACATGCATGTACCATTAGAGAAAATACTAGTGTCTTCATAGGTATCTTTCTAAGAAAGCTGAAGAATTATTTAGGGACATTCACAGTATGCAACACACCCACATCTTTTAGAAGAAGGTTAAGATGATTATCAATGCAAATGTCAAAAGTTCACTCTGATTAGAGCTAAGCTGAATAAACCATTAACATATTAGGAGATATTTTACAGACATTTAGACTTCGACAATTGACTCATATGACATTGAAAGACAACTGAACTACTTCTACTGGTTACACTTAAATGGATTTATAAAAGTGAGTACTAAAAGCACTAACGCTTTTACAGGCTTTAAATGATGGTAGATACTTCTGAATTGAGACCGTAATGATTCTGTATTTATAAAGCACACACACAAACAATGTAAACTACACATAGAAAAGTGCTGGGTATGCAACACATAAAAGAAAGTAATTAAAATGATAAAACGTGGTTTGTTAAGGGGAATCACATCAACTCTCATTCTAGACACAAATGAGCTGTTAAAAAACAATACAACTGCATTTTACTTTCTTCCTCTATCAGACCAATTTGTTCACTTCAAATAGGGTGCTGATTAGTAGCAATCAACATATAATTAGTCAAAATGAAGGTCACATTGAGGTTGGGTGTGCCGATTGATCACAGTCTCTCCTTTAAGTGCTTGTGACACATATCTGGACCATGTCGGCAGTTAACAAGAATATGGTGCATAAAAATATGGCTCAGATCAGTAGATTCACCATTGTCTTGAAGACTAAATGCAAGTCTGCATTATTAGCAGCTAAAATATATTCTGACTCAGTTCTGATTCTCTGTGTAACACAAAGGGCACTTTGCATAAAGTTCTGTATCACTATTTTTATCTTTAATGCAGATAGGCTTAGCACTCAATTACAAATTAGAATTTGGTGGCTGGGAGAGTGAATTACATTGAAGGTTAAAACACTACATTTGTTGTGAAGAAAAGATGATCTAGTAAATCATTCATGAAACAACAAAAAAGCATAATATGCAAGTATATTTTGTTTTATCATAGGAACGACACATTTGTAGAGTATAGAGGAAAAATTCTTAAACTAGGAGTAGGAAGATATTCATTGTCTTATTTGTTCATTCATTTAGTAAATATTTACTGATCCCCTACTCTGAGCCTGTAATAAGTGCTGAGGATGGAATTAGTAGTGAACAACACATAAAAATCCTTGCCCTCCAGCAATTTGTCTTCTGCTAGGAGGAGACAGATAACAAACAATAAGTAAAACGTTTGTCATAAGATGGTAATAAATAGTAGTAAATAAGATGGTATGTGATGATAAATAAATAAGGCTGGAAAGGAGGCTACAGGGAGAGAAAGGAGTGACTGGGAGGGATTCTAATTTTAGAGAGATAGTTAAAGATGCCTAACTAAGAAGGTAACATTTGCAGAAATTCTTGAACCGATGAGCAATCAAGACATATGGTCATCTGGAGGAAGAATTCTCTAAGTAGGGAGAACAGCAAAGTCTACGTCTGAGGCAGGAGAGTTCCTGGATCCTTTCATACTGACCACAAATGGCCAGTATGACCCAAGTGCAGTGAGCAAAGGGAGTAGAATAGGATATGTGGTCAGAGAGTGGGTCAGACAGTGAAGGATCTTACAGGCCATTGTTAGGACTTTGGCTTTCATATGAGTAACTTGGGAAGCTATTGGGGCATTTAAGCAAAGAAGAGACATAATCAGATTTATATTTAAGAGGACCACACACGGCTACTGGGTGGAAAAGAGATGGCAAAGGGAAGGGGGCAAGGACAGAAGCAGAAAGACTAGTCAGGAGATCCCTGAACTAATCTAAAAAAGAGATGATTAGCTCCTTGAACTAAGGAAGAGGTGGTGAGAAATAGTTTGGTTCAGGGTACATTTTGGAGGGAGACCTAAGGTGGGCTCGAACATGGGTATGAGAGAGAGAGAAATCAAAGATAAGGTAGAAATCAAGGCATTTGGAGCTGGCATTAATTGAGACAGGGAAGACGTTGGGGTGGGGAACAATTTTAGGGATAAAGTCGCAGATTAGGAATTCAGTTGTGGACACATTAAATTTGTGATGCCAACTAAATATTCATGTAGAGATATAGCATGGGTGGTTGGATAGAAAGGTCTGGAGCTCAGGGAGCAGATTTATTTGGAGATGTAAATTTCAGAGGTCAGCATGTAGATGATGTTAAACCCATGAGACCAAGTGAGATCATCAAAGAAGTAAATACAAACTTAGAAGAGGACTAAGCTTCTTGTGGGAGGGAAATGCAATGTCTAAAAGATGTTGGAAAGATGAATAGAACACATTAAAAAGAGACTGATGGGAGTAGCCAGAGAGTTGGAAGAAAATATAGAAGAATGTTGTGACCTGGAAGCCAGGTGCAAAGAGGTATTTTAAGGAGGAGAGATTGACTAAATACTATTGTTAGATCGAGTAAATGTGGATTTAATAATAACCATTAGTTTAATAATGTTGCAGTCGATGGTATTGTTTGGGGACATTGAAGTAGGGATAAAAGCTTGTATGAGAGTGAGAGAAAGGGATTTAGATAGATGAATGTAGACTATTCTTTTGAGGAATTTTGAAAAAAAAGAGGTACATAGATATGGACCAATAGCTGGAGGGGATGTGGGGTCAAGGGGAAAAATTGTTAAGGTGAAAGAAACAACAGCAGTGAACAAAACAGATAAAAATATTTGCCCTTAAGCAATTTTTCTTCTAGTAGAGGGAGACAGGAAACAAATAATAAATAAGTAAAATATTACACGATGGTAATAAGTGGAAATGAATAAGATGGTATAAGATGGCAGGTAAATAATGATAGGACACTAGAAAGAGAGAGGAATGGCTGGGTGGGATTATAATTTTGAATAAACAGTGAAGGAAGCCTCATTAAGAAGGCAACATCTGCAGAAATACTTGAGGAGGATTAATGATCAACCCATACGCTTTGTATATTGATGGGGATAAAATAGTAGAGAAGGAAAAATGATAATAAAAGAAAAAAACAACATTTCTGAAGTGATGTGCTTAAGTATGTGAGAGGATGAGATTTTGTGAGAAATGGATGCCCTGGTCTCAGAAGCACAGGCAGTTCACCCACGGGGAACTAGAGGGAAGGCAGAATGAGTATATGACATACATGAAGATAGGTGGGCAAATGGATGACAAGGTGGAGATTTTAAAAGTTGTCTTCTGAATCTTGTACTTGCTCAGTGAGACAGGAAGCAAAGTCAGAGGCTGGCATAGAGATTGGGAAAGAGATCTTGGAGGTTCCATGTGAGAGGAAAAGGTGTGAAATTGTTTTCTAGGGCAGTAGACTATAGAATGGACAAGGGTCTGTGGTTTGGTTCAGGGACAGCACTAATGGCCCACTTGAAGTTAGGTCCTGAATTTAAATGACTGTTGCATATTTTTCTCCAAGAACACACAGCTGCCTGGGTTCAGGCAGGGAGTAGGCTGAGAGCTATCTTTACAGTCAGATTTTGCCAGGGACAGCGAACAATGGAATTGAGAATATGTATAAGGGAGTGATTTCACTCAGGGACTGTGGAATATAAGTCAGGTAAGAAGGGAGATGCAAACGTGAAGGAACTGAGCGATACTTTGGATGGGTTAAGATCAGTTGTTTGCAGGTGCCAGTAATGTAAAAGAATTATTGGAGTTGAAATGTCAGAGGAATTGAGATGATCAGAGAAACTGATATTACAAAGGTGAGCAATTATTAATATTGACAAGGTCAAGGGTTTGCCTTTGGGGAAGTGGGTAGAAGTGGTCACAGAACTAAAATACCAACATCCCAAGTGGGCTTTAGTCTCAGAAGAAGTAAGATTTCAAAAGTCTTTGAGGAGATAAGGAAACAAAGAAATAAAGCAGATTTACAAACTAATCCTAGGGACCAGGTTTGGGTATAGTTACCGGCACATGGAACCAAGAAGAATAAAAAAAGTCAGAAGTCTACTACTAAGTTTCTGAGGTAACAATAATGCTAAAAAAAAAAAAAAAAAAAAAAAAAAAAAAAAAAAAAGTTAAATTTTTTTAAAAAGAGCTAGCCTTAAGAAGCCTTTCACTGTTAAAATAATATTTGTGATATGAAACTTGCACAACAAGAAGTGAGCTTCAAAGCAATATGGCCCTCAACACAGCATACTTTCCAGTGCTCAGCATTCGCATGGTCTGGAGGCTAAAGGACAGAAAATTACCCCCCAGGTGGCCAAGCAAAGAGCTACAGGAAGCAACGGATGAGGGAGTTCTCAGATAACACAGTCCAGGTGGAATAAAAGACTGTTCTCCATTGCTGCGATCCAGAAATGGCTGTGTATTTATCACTCCTTCTTTTCTAAATGGGAGTTTGTAATTCTAATTTTTCTGTCCTTGTTGCTCATTATACATATAGTGTCAAGACTTCATAAAGAGAACTATGCATCATCTATAGAACCCAGGCTTTGAGTTAAAGATAGTACTACATGAGACTATGGGTTCTCCTTTGGGAAGAAGGGTGTTCTAGAGGACAGAGAGGTAGACTACAGAAAATACACTTAACAATTCATTGAGGTTTGTGTCTCTTATTCCATTTGTTCCATGGTATAGAAAAGGCAGCTCAGCTCACACCTACATTGCTCAATTCCCTTCTCCTTGAATCTGGGTGTAACCTATTTTTTGTGGGATTAGAAACATTTAAATTTCTTTTTTTATAAACTTTAAGTTCAGAGGTACATGTGCCGGTTTGTTACGTAGGTAAACTTGTGTCATGGGGGTCTGTTGAACAGATTATTTCATTAGCTAGTTATTAAGCTGAGTATCCATGAGTTTTTCTTCCTGATCTTCTTCCTCCTCCCACCCTCCACCTTGTGAGAGGCTCCAGTGTCTGTTGTTCCCCTCTTTGTGTCCATATGTTCTCATCATTTAGCTCTCATTTATAAGTGAGAACATGTGGTATTTGGTTTTCTGTTCTTGTTTTAGTTTTCTAAGGATAATGACCTTCAGCTCCATACATTTCTCTGCAAAAGACATGACCTTGTTCTTTTTTATGGCTGCATAGTATTCCATGGTGTTTATGTACCACATTTTCTTTATCCAATCTATCATTGATGGGCATTTAGCTTGATTCCATGTCTTTGCTATTGTGAATAGCGCTGCGGTGAACATACACATGCATGCATCTTTTAATAGAATGATTTATATTACCTTGGGTACATACCCAGTAAGGAGATTGCTGGGTCACATGATATTTCTGTCTTTAGGTCTTTGAGAGGTGTGACCACTTACAACCAGTTTGAGTCTGTGGCATATGAGTGGAAATGCAATGTGTAAAACTTCTTATCCAAGGCTTTTAAGAGCAGGAGTGTTTTATTCATCCTCACTAAGTTCTTTTTGTTGCTGGATGCAGATGATGGGGAGGATTTAAGGAATAGCAGAGTCACCCTTAAGTGCTTAAGCCACCCTTAAGATGGAAGGACCCTAAAGGAGAGTACCTACTGATCACAAACGCCTGCCTGGTACTGTTACATGGTCAAAAAATAAATGTTACTGTGTGAAGTCACTGAAAAACTTGGGTTTATTAGTTATAGTAGCTAGCTTTACTCCTAATACAATGCTGATCTTGATAAAAAAGTCTCCATTTCTCTGGGCTGCAAATATTTATTTATAAAAGTAAGTGGTTGTACAAGACAATCATTGAGCTTCCTAAGTGATTCTAAATGATTAATTTCTGCTTAGTTTTGATTGTATATAAACAAATATAAGCTCAGATTTATGTCTTCCCATCTTCTAGAAATCTATAATTCACACACACATACACACACACAGAGAGAGAGAGAGAGAGAGAGAGAGAGAGAGAGAGAGAACTCAAATCGAATTTCTGAATTTTTTTATCCAAGAGTATTTGGAATGGCTGACACCATCAGTGAGTCACCTTTTGCCTTACCTGTGTGGTAGGGCACTGTAGGTTTAGCATCATGGAGGGACTGGTACAACGTAATAGGTTAAAGTAAAACAAAATGGTCTTGTTCCTGTTAAGAAAGAAAACAACATAATCTTTTTAGTGGCCATGGAAATGTTCCATATCATTTCAGACCCTGAACACTTTTTATAAATAACCTTTAATAATTGGCTTCATTATATCTAAACAGCTGAAATACATTCCCCCTCTCCCTTAAGTACCCAACCTTTAAAGTATTTTTTTAGTAGTAAAAAGTTGAAGTAATCAAACTATCCATCAACATGAGATTGGTTAAATAGATTTGCATACCCATAAAGTAGAACATTACATTCACATTGAAAATAATGTTAAAGAACATATTTAATGGATGGTGAAATTCACAATACATCAATTTTAGGAAGCAGATTACTAAAAAGTATTAACATATAATTTGATTTTAATTTTATAAAACAGATATAACATGAAGAAACAAATTATTACATCTGAATGTTGAGATTATATTTTAGTTAATTTTTGTGCTTTTGTGGATTTCATAAAGTGAATATATATTACTTTGGTAATCAAAAAAACATAAATGAATTAAGTTATATTTTCTCTGCTGAAAATTATAGCCAGTAGCAGACTAATGGGGCAGGTTGATACTTATTATCACTAGTTTCGAGTGGTATATTATGCTGCCATTTAGCAAGCCATGATTCTCTTGAATCCCAATCTTCTTATCAATAAAATGAAAATAATACTATTCCTACCTACTTCACAGAGGTATTGGGAGGGCCTAAGTAATGTGCAGTGGATTTCAGGCAAGTGGTTGCCCAACTTCAGCATGCCCAAGTAAAACCTGAAGTGTTGGTTCAAAATCTTGATTCCCGACTCTTTCCCAACCCCCAGGAGTCCAGATATTTAGATATGGGGCCCAGGAATTAGTATCTTTTCTTCTAAGCTCCCCAGTGGATTCAGATACAGTGTTCTGTAAACCTTATCTTAAGAAACATAGCCCTAAACATTCAGGAAGAATGTTTCCTAGCTCTTTGTCAATTCTCCAATTAATGTGACTACACGCATAGCACAAAATGTAATGGGCTGTTGAGCAGTACTTTTCCTACTGACTCAAAATCAGTAAGTAGGATCCAAATCTAAGGATAAAGACAGTCTTCCACAAGAAATTAGGGCTAGATCCTTAAATCACTTCCACCCACTTCCTACTTCTGTCTACACAAGCCAATGGTGTGGGGAGGGAGGTGGATCGGAGACTGTGGAGTTGGCAATAATGATTGCAGTTAATAGAACTTTCCTTTCCATCCTCACTGAGGAGAGGATGAGTTGTTTCTTCCAAATCCCAAGTTATAGAGGGTTCTAAAAGAATCTCTCATAGAGACTAAAGGTGCAGTAAGAAGGGTAGACCAACATCTCAGTTTCCGATTGAACATCTCTTATGTGGCAGACCTGCTAGTCCTGCTAGTCAGCCTTTCATGACCATTTCAGCAGGGAGAAATGAGACCCAAAGAGACCACAAGAGAACTGAAAAAAAGTCAGTGAGGCAGAAAGAGGTCAGCAGTAAAACACCCCATCACAGTAGGATATGGAGTCAATAAATGGGCTCGAGTCTCCCTGGTGGTACCTCACCTGACATTAAGAAACTGTGGAGGTGGCTGGGCATGGCGGCTCATGCCTGTAATCCCAGCACTTTGGGAGCCCAAGGCAGGTGGATTACGAGGTCAAAATATTGAAATCATCCTGGCCAACATGGTGAAAACCTGTCTCCACTAAAAATACAAAAATTAGCCAGGCATGGTGGCACACATCTGTAGTCCCAGCTGCTTGGGAGGCTGAGGCAGGAGAATTGCTTGTACCTGGGAGGTGGAGGTTGCAGTGAGCCAAGATTGTACCACTGTACTCCAGCCTGGTGACAGGGCAAAATTCCATCTCAAAAAAACAAAAACAAACTGTGGAGGTGAGTCACCATGGATGTAGTTGAAGGGGTTTGGAAGAGGGCAAACCAAAGCTGATCACTTACATCAAAGAGCTATTCCGTGTGGACTTCCCCAGAAAATGTCCACCTGCACCCTATGAGAGTCAGCCCTTGGATGCCTGCCCCAGTGAGTGTTCATGGCTGGTCAGTTATGTCCTAGCCACAGTGACAACAACAACAGCAAAGCAAGTCCACAGAAACATCCTAGTTCTTTTTTCTTTAGTAAGAATGGGCAGTAGCCAGGAAAATAATGCATCATCCCTTTTCTTCTCCTTCCATCCCTCACAGCATAATGAATGAGCTAGAACCAGAAAGGAAGAGAGGAGACGAGAAATAGCAGGCCAGGTCCTCTCTCCCACTTCAAGGTCTTTGGCAGAGTGAAACCTGAGCTTGCAGATTGGAAGAAATAAAACTGAAATCTTAAATTGGACTACATTGCAATTTTAACAATAGAAAGTGTCTGAAAGCTATGTAATTTGCCCGAAATATCAAAGTGAGAAGGGAGATCTGAAGAAGCATTGTTAAAGGCAATGATATGAGAAAAATAAACCCATTCTATGTTTGCATCCCACTGATTTCAAATGGCTGAAGCTGGTTATAAATTCATAATAAATATGTACAAGTCTACTACTTTGAGATCTACAAGTGTTAGCTTCAGTATTTCACCACCCAAGCAACTACATCCTCAACACAGTCTCACAGTGCATGTGATTCAAATTTGTACTTAAGCAAATGAATAAATTATACATATCATGGATCACTGGGGTCCCTTGTGGGTAGTTAAAACTGTGAATGGTAAATCAGTAAGTGCCAAGAGTTCACCATAGGTAAAATTGATTTATAAACTGCAAACTGCTATATAAACTCAAGTTATTCACCAGATTATATTATCCTCAAGGGTAAGGTTTATATCTTATTCATCTTTACATCCCTACCTTGCCAGAACCTAACCTCATACTTGGCCCACTCTAGGCACTTATCAGATGTTTTGGAATGAATGGGACCAATTCCAAAATAAGTTTTAGAAAAGATTTATTTCAAAGTTTTTTTCAAGTAAGTCTTAGAATCATCCTTAGTATTTCAGTACAAAGCTACAGTCATTTTACCACAGCCTCTGATATTCTCAAATTTCAACGGACCTCAGATTTTTTAGGTGCAAAGTAGATGGTGGTGTTTGCAGCTGAGCAATTCTGTGGGAATAACTGAGGAAGTAACTCATAATTTAAATTATATTTCTATCAAGAAATAAAATAGAAACAACAGCAAACTGCTAGTTCAAGATGATGTACCAGGCACTTAAGCCTTTCTTTCCTGAGACTCAGTGGAATAAAATAACGAAAGTACCAAAAGATGAATAAGCCTCACCACACAAGATAAGAATGTGGAGGATGTGATTTGCTCACAATTGTATGGGAGAGTTCAGCAATATTTGGAGCATGGGATGCATATTGAAATGTGCTGAACAATGAATGCACCATACAGGGGTATAGAGACAGT